CTAGTTATATGTAAGAAGGGTTTTACCACTGTGATAATTAGACCTAAATTATGGTGCTTTTAGAATAGGAATAATGGTTTTCCTTTATTTAACGTTTTACGAATTTTCCCTTATTTAACTTTTCCTTCCATTTCCCTAGTGCCTTCATTTTCTCATTAATTTTTAAACATCATTTATTCAGACAACGTTTAGTCAAAACAAAAGGCGTAATTGTTACGAATCTTTTCTTCAAGCATATCAATAATGGTTTTCCTTTTTAAATATTTTCTAGTGTTGATTCAGGTAGTATCTTGGAGGTTTTGGAAGAAAAGGTTTCTTGATTGTTGTAACAAAGTTGATATATGGATTCCATGGATGTTAAAGGTATTGCATGGGTTGGGAATATCTATCAAAAGTTTGAAGCTATGTGCTTAGAGGTTGAAGAAGCTATGTGTCAGGTATAACTATATCTTTCTTTATTGACTAATCTTCATAAATGGTCCCTGTGGTTTCCCAGAATATCAAGTTTAGTCCCTAACTTGATATTCTGGGAAACCACGATAGAATTTTAAACCACAGTGACCTTCCATGAGACCAAATAAAGTTAGGGACTAAATTTGATATTCTGGGAAACCATAGGGACCATTTATGTCTTGTTTATTCCTTGGATCCATCAATTAATTTCTATATCTGTCAAGAATCTTGTATATACCAGTCAGTAAACTGTAAACCTGGATAAAGTAATAAAAGATATTCATATAGCGAGGTTTATTTATTTATAGATAAATGAATAAATGAATAAATAAATATTCATTTATCTCAGGAAACAGCTAAATATGTTGAAAATCAAGTCCAGACAGTGGGGGCAAGTATGAAAAGGTTCTGTTCTGATGTGATGCAGGATTTGCTTCCCCCTTCATCAAAAGATCTCTCTAAAGTTGCAAGTGCAGAATTACTATTAAACCCTTATCTTGAATTTGGAATACACATGAAGCCCATATCAACCTTCAAGGAAGATGTTTCAATTAAAGATCAAGATCCTATTCCTGTCCATGTGAAGGGTATTTCTGAGGACAAAATCGGTATTTCTGAGGATAAAAAATCCAACTCTAGCAATGATGCTTGGGAAGATTGGTCGTTTAATTGGGATATAAGTGATCAAGATGAAGCAAAGTGTGTGGAAGCATCAAAGGAAGATATAGAGTGGGAGACAAGAGGAGGGCAGGAGGGGCAAATATGTAATTTGGTCATGGGTGCTTCTCCAACACTCACTACTAAATTTGCTAAATCGAGTAGAAAGGGAGTGAAAAGATCCAAATGTATCTCCTCTAACAATATCATAAGAACAGAACATACAAATACAGGTACTTGTTCATAAATGCATGATGCATGCATACACTTATCCATACATCACTTAATCAGAAAAAAAAAGGAAAAGAAAAAGAAATTCGGTTTTAATATTAAAATGAGTAAATTACACAAATGGTCCCTATGGTTTGGGGTAATTTGCACGTTTGGTCCCTGTCTTACCTAAAAAGACTATTTTGCTCTTGATTTTTTTAATTTATTTAAATAAACACACCCCAACCCCACTTCCACCTCACCTTACCTTACCTACCCCACCTTAGTCAAACAAATTAAAATGTCAAGGGCAAAATAGTCTTTTTAGGTAAGACAGAGACCAAGTACGCAACAAAAACAAACTGTAGGGACCTTCCGAGTTAAAAAAATTAGTTAGGAACCAAACATGCAAATTACCTCAAACCATAGGGACCATTCGTGTAATTTACTCTATTAAATTACTTCATTTCATCATCTTCTTTTAACTGCAGCAGCTACATGTGAAAGTAGTGAATTGGAGGTTTCACAGGCTCATTCAAATACTTCAAGTGGTGGAGATGTGTCCCATTCAGGTATCTCTTAACACAAATATACCTTCCTTAAAATTGCTAATAACTTCTTAGTAGCCCTAAGAGAAATAAATAGAAGTACCAAAAATGTAATAAAAGATAAGTGAGGGGGGCAATTTGGTAACTTCCCTTGTTAAGTTGGTTTAGGTAGCTTAAATACAAGTTTAGGTTGAGTCGGTGGTTAGTATCTTTGAATAGAATTAATTGAGTCATGAGTGAGAGATCACTTGGCCTCTCGAAAGCCAAGAACCCTTTGTATTCTTTGATTTTAGTCTATAATTCTACAATTAAACCCTAGTTATGAACATTGGACTTTACATGTTACATATTAGTAATGAAGTGTAACTATGTAATAATGTTGCTTTTATGGGTAAAGAATATTCACTTCTATTTGCTCTTTTGGTTGTAGATCCATGTGAAAATAACAGCCATCCAACCGTTAGTGCTAATACTCAGTGTGGTCAATCACAATCTGTTGGTGATGAGGTATTACAATCCCATACAGGTAAACTATCATTACCCAATTACTGAAATCGTCCTTATGGTTTGGTTAAAATTGCATGTTTGGTCCCTAACTTTTCTTTTGCACTCGGATCGTCCCTATAGTTTGATTTTGTTGCGTTTTTCGTCCCTTACATACATAAAGTTAGGGACCAAACGTGTAATTTTGACCAAACCACAGGGACGAAAAATGCAACAAAATCAAACCACAAGTGCAAAATAAAAGTTAGGGACCAAATGTGCAATTTTAACCAAACCATAGGGATGATTTTAGTAATTTACTCATATATATACTTTTTAGTGATTGACTTTATAATTTATTGATATTTAGTTATAGTCTTATAGACTATGCTACACAAAAGAGTATATGAAATTTTCCAAACAGTTTCGAAATTATGTGAAGTATACATTAACTGTTTATAATATCCTTCATAACATTATTAAAATAACAAAGATGTTGAAAAAATCAAAACCAAATCTATTTTAAATAAAGTAAGTTGGGAAGTGGTTTAATTTTATTAATATATTTTTTCAGGAAGAATCAATAATAATACGTTAGTTAATTGTTAAATATTTTAGGAGATTCAGCTTCAGCACACCATGATCATACAGATGGAGATGGAGATGAATCAGAGTTTGAGGAAACATGTGTTTTAGTTGATGGAAATGATTATCATCATCATCATCATCCTATTCCTATCAACCACAAAGAACAAACAAGATGCTCATACAAGGTATATATATATTTACATTTTTTTAAACTTTTAGTAAAATATGTAACAAATAAATAAATAAATACCTTTCGCATTGCAGAAAAAGATTCAGGGCGCGTTTTGTTTAAAAAAGAAGTCAGCAAGGAAGCAAGAGTACAAGCAACTACAATATGACAACAACAACAATCTCACGTTTTCAGATAACAAAAAACCCAACTCAATAGACTCTGAATGGGAGCTTCTCTAGGTCTTCCTCTCTTTCTCATTATCAACCAACCCATTTGTAAATAAATTCCTTCCTATAAATATGTGATATGATTTCAGCCCCTTTTCAGCACGATTGATCCCATTAAGTAAAGCTCGAGGATCGGGTGATTTGAGTTAAGGGAGCTGGTAAATAGTATTATTCATTGTGGAGTTGAATTAAGCTCTTATTTGATGCCATAATGATTATATGTATTGTAATTTGTAAATGAACCTTGGTATTTCTCAATATCAGGGAATGCAAGGGGACTAAGGTTAATATCCAGTTATTTAAGAAGAATAAATTATGTTGCTATTATTTGGGCTTTTGGTTTGGGTTATTTCATTGCTACAAACATGGTTGTTTTGTTGGTAGATTGTGTTTGTTATTGAATATGATGACACTGAATTACAATTACAATTCGAAGACTCTAAAATTTAAATGCAATTTCATAAGTCCCTACAAGCCCATCATGTAACGAAATAGATGAGAATCTTCCGTACATGAATTATCTTGGAATATGAGAATAAATCTGTCTGATAAAGATCATAGGATCAATGATCAGAGGATGTAATTTTGATTCGCTTAAATCGGTCGACTGTTGGAGGCTTCTAAAGGAGCATAGGTGTTGATATTCCATGTTGTAGAGAAGAAAACGAAGTAATATTGTGAGTGGAGTTCATTACTTGACTAACTTGTTAATTGTATACAACTATAATATATCATTGCATTGTTAAGTATGTAACACTTTAATGGACAGAATTAAGTAACTAGCTAATTATGTCAAACTAATTAGTTACAAGGCTATACCCATTGTATATTCTGATTGTTGGAATGCGATGATCCAAAAAACATGTTATGGAAGCAATAAAAACAATGACCATAACATACAATTATGGATCCATGTTCATTAGGTTTGGAATTGGTACGAGTGTAGTTATTTTTTTTTCTAAACCGTATACAATACTAATTATAGTTATTATTTTATTTTATTATTGTTATTTTTTGTTAAAACTTGTTTGACTACCAATAAGTTTGGTAAGTACATGTTTGTGAATATATATACCAACATGTATAGGAGTTTTATGAATGACATTTTTCCTATTCTTGAACATTGTGAAACATGAATGTCGCTTGTGTGAATGATAGTTTTATGAATAACTGATTGAAAACCCGATCTAATTTTATTTATTTATTTATTATTAATTTCTACCATGCATTTAAATTTTAAATGAATGAAGGAAAATGGGACACGTCAACGTAAGTTTAAACTTTAATCTGTTCTAATATGGCAGATGGTAATATCAAAGCTCTTGAAAAATTAAATACCAAACGCACTTAAAAGTTAAAAGAAAATCTTTAGAAAAATTCCATACTTTTGGAAAAAGTTTCATTTTAGTCCAATTATTTTTTCGAACAAAATAACCCATAATACTGAGGAAATTGAACACGTTGGTCCTTTTCATCCGATCACCCTTACTTAGTCGATTGCATTTGCTGATTTGGCATTCAATAGCTTATGTGGATTGAGGTAAAAACAAACACCCTCATTAAGTGAAGAAACCCTGACATTTCATCTTTTCTTCGACTCTTCCTTCTCTCATTTCACCCACCTTAGTAAATTAGGGTTTTTACCTATCTTGAAGGAGGAAAATGGACGATGTGTATGATTTGGATAGTATAAATGTGGAGCTTGATTATTTTAAGAGAAAACTAATTTCCCAATGCAGAGATGAATTTTTGAATATATTATGTGAAGAAGATGATGATAATGATGCAAATGATGATGCTCAAGCTCAAAATAATGCTCAACCTCAAATCCACAACCAAGAATTGGACTCAGAGTACGTGCAAAGTAATAATGAAGAAGATATTGAGGATGATTTCAAGTATTCCATCCACAACCCAAAGGTGAAATGGAACTTAATGAAACCAGTACTTGGTGAAAGGTATGAATCCCCACACGAGCTCAAATGGTGTATAACTATCTATGCTATTAGTAAAGGGTTATCAAATTCGTTTCAAAAAGTGTGATAACATTAGACTAGTGGCAATAAGTGGAAGTACTCTAGAGAAGTACCCATTCGTGGTTAGGGCTTCTTGGATGAGTATTAAAAGAACATTCCAAGTAAAAAAATATTGTAGACCTGCATACATGTGTTAGGAGTTTTAACAATTCAAAGCTTATAAGTCCTACTTGGTTAGCAATGGAATTTGTGAAGGAGTTGATTAGGCAACCTAACTTAAAATGCAAGGAGATAAAGGTTAAAATACAAAGTAAATTTCATTACAAATCACATGGTTAAAACGCTATAGATTAAGGATGGGGAATTATCATTCATTGATGGGAAATTGCGTGACCATTATGCAAGAGTTTAGGACTATGGACATAGGTTGATGAGATCCAATCCAAATAGTACAATTAGGATTTATGTTAGTGTAAAACTTGATAAAACCAATTTTTTTTTTCACATAATGTACATTTGCTTTAAAGCAATTAAAGAGGGCTGGAAAAGGGGATGTCATAGGGTAATATGGTTGGATGGTTGTTTTCTAAAGGGACTATACAAGGGTGAGATGTTAATTGTAATAGGTAGGGATACAAATAACCAGGTGTATCTTATAGCCTGGGAAGTTGTTAAAGTAAAGAATAAGATAAAATGAACATGGTTCCTAGAATTAGTTAATGATAACCTTGGATTGCAGGGGTAGTAATGGTCTTTCTATAATCAAAGATCAACACAAGGTAAAGTAACTATCTTTTTCTTTGTGATTAATTCTTAATTAATTACAATATTTTGTGTACATTCTCATTAACTATTTTCATGTGATAGGGTCTTCTTGAAGCTTGTAAATATATTCTACCATATGTTGAGCACATGCAATGTTTCAGGCATATCTATCCCTATTTCATAAAAGTTTATAGTGGAGTAGAGTACAAAAACATTTTGGGTTGCAGCAAAATATAACATAAGGGGATTTCAAGTTAAATATGAAAGGATCAAGGCAATAAGTTATGTTGTATATGATCATCTCAATGCTAGGGAACCATCTTAATGGTGCAAGGCTTACTTCTTTAACATTCGAGATTTGGTATGTTTCCTTTTTATCAATTATTGTAAAATTTCTATCAAGTCCCTAGCTAGTATGCACGGTGTACTCTATCAGTACACTTAGCATACTAGCTCATCGATGGATCGCGGGTTCACCCACGTATGTAAGAGTATCCATGACGTAGGTAATGCAGGGGAAAACCCTAATTTTTAGGGTTTGTGCCCTATTTAAACAACTTAAGACACCCTTGGACCTTCTATTGAACAACCTCTATCTCCCCTTACCATAATATCGAAACCCTAAGTTTCATTTGAGAGATTTGAGCTTGAAAGTGAGTTTTGGTGGTGTTTTTGATGAAGTAGAAGAATAAGAACACTTGGAGGTTGCTTAGGGGTGGATTGAGCTTGTAGATCCAGAGTCATTTTCATCTTAGCAAGCCATTTGAGGTAAAAAGCTGTCATCTTGGTGGTTCTTTATGCTAGATCCAACTTAGACTGTTATTTGTGTATTTTTCGGTCTTTTAAGCCATATTTGAGATTATGGCATACTCTAGAAGCCATGAATGTTAGATCTTAGCACATTTAAGGTCCGTTATACATAAAATGAAACCTTTATGAGTTATTTTGGTCCATGCATGTGTTAGGTTGCTTGTTATGGTTCTCTTTGAGTTTTGGGTCTTATTAAGACATGCATGAGAGTAAAGTTGCCAACTTTACGTGTTAAATCACCATTTAGAATCAGATATGAGAGTGTGGCATGATGACTTAACCAATTAAGTGTTTAATAAGTTAAGTTGGTTATTTGTAGAGTACACATGACGTACCCAACTTATACGCTGCACGTACTGGCCCCGGAAGGAGTACGCTAAGCGTAAGTTTGAGTATGCCCAACGTACTCAATGGTTTGACCATCGGTTGACTTTGACGGGTTTGGGCCATATTTTGGGCTTTTAGGATTTGGGACTTGTTGGACTAATGTAATTTTGACTTTAGGCCATGGATAGACTATGGACTTTCTTCGGATTAGGTCCATGATGATTTTTGGGCCCAATTACGAAGTTGGACCATATTGGGCCTTGAGATGCCATTTAGGAATTTAAGCCTTTTGAGCAGATAGGTTGGGCCTTGGTTTTTGGCCAAGTAAGAAAAGGGTAAAATAGTCTTGTACCCTGGATGTTGGAATAGTAATTTAGATTCTTGATTATGGGTCGAGATTCAGTTATTAATTGGATATTATTTAATGATGTTAGCACGGGGATTTTCCGGATCAGCAGACCGAGATTTTATTTGAGAGATTCAACAGCTCAAGGTGAGTTTCTTAACTATGTTTAGTGGGTCGAAGGCACCAATGCCGACCCATGGTTATTTATGATTAGGATGCTAGTTGTTTGTGTGACTGTGCATGCATGTTTTTTGATATGTTTACCGGGCGGGGCCTTATGATTATATTGTATGCTATTTATCTTAGTGCTTTTGCATGCGTTTTTATGTTTGTATGTATACCGAGCAGGGACCAATGCTAGGCGGTGCCTGATAACTGATAGAGTTGTATCGAGCGGGACCTATTATATGATGGATATGTATGACATGTGGTATTTTAGGGAACTCAATAAGCTTTGTGCTTATGTTTATCAATTTATGTTTAAGGTACTTTTGGTTCGAAGGAGTAAAGCTCTGGATGGCTGCATTGCACACACCACATTATTCTGCATTTTACATGACTCTGATGTACTTGGATATTTATTGATACACTTTGATTCACTATGGTCATTATGATATTGTTTTGGATAATGGTTTTATTAATTTAAAAATCAAAATGTTTTTTAGTCTTAAATTTTGGGAAGTTACAAGTTGGTATCTGAGCCTTAGTTTGAGGGATTCGGGCATACTCTCGGGGGTGTCTGAACTCACACTGAGGGTTTGGTAGATTTTTAAAAAAAAATAGAATTGTTTTTTAAAATGGTTTTCTAATAAAAGAAAAAGGGTGTGGTGCATGTAATCAACTAAAATCAAGTAAGTTTTCCGACAATACCCATACATGTTTTATGATATGCTTTGATTTGTGAATCTGTGAATCACATGCTAGTTAGGGCTAAGGATTTGCTTAGGATTTGCATGGTAGAATGCTAGGAGAGATGCCTTTATATGCCTACCATATGAGCTTGTACATTTGCATGCTAGTACTGATCAGTTAGTGATAGGATGACCTATTTAGGTTATGCTTGTTTCGATTACTTGACGCTTGAATGCTGCTAAGTTTGTGCTTTTAGGAGTTTCCACTAACTTCAACTAACTAGTAAGTGAATATAATAAGTTACATGTTGTTAAGACTAAATAATTTTAGAAGGTTAGGTTTTAACTCTATTGCGCAACTTTTTTTTGAGTCCAACCGTTGTAGTGTGAGACCTTTCATTCAAAGAATTATCTGGTGTCTGTAACACCCCGACGCCCAGGTATAATATTTAAATAATTTATATTTATGTTGTCAGAGCAACTTGACGAGTTGGAGGCCCTAACTCGCCGATTAGAGAGATAAAAGTCCGCATGATTTTTAGAGTTCACTCGACAAGTTGGAGGACCCCAACTCGACGAGTAGGATCTGAGTGTGAAAACCCTAATTTTCAAGGTTTGCGTCGTATTTAAAGGGCCTTAAGCCTTCATTTCCGCCTCCCTTATCATCTTGACACACTAAGAGAAACCCTAAACGAGCTATAGTCGTTTGTGAGAGAGAGAAAGGCTAAGATTATGTGTTCTAGTGCATTTTTGAAAGGGGATGGAAGAGAAAAAAGGCTTGAGAAGAAGCCTTTGGCTCAGTTGTTCTTTCAGTGCTAGCTGCTATCTGGAGGTAAAAAGCTTTCACCTTGATCATTGTTTGGTTAGATCTCATCACTAGGTAGTTTATGGACATTTTAATCCTTTTTTGGGTCCTTAAGTTGTTTGAGCTTGCCATGGAGTTGAGACTCCAGATCTGGACAACGTGACGCTCATTGGGCCTAAAGATTCAGGCTTTATCAAGCTATTGGCCAACTTTCATGCATTAAACCCTCTATAGAGCTTGTTTTGGAATTTTGAGCCCTAGATGCCATGCATGGACGCAAAGCTTACAACTTTACGTGATACTTCATCCTTAAAAGGCTAGATCTAGAGTATGGAGCCTTAGTTCTGCTTAAAAACTTTTGAATGAGAGAATGGACTGAAGGGACTCAACGAGTTGGCTAGGGTTTTCCCCCGATAGTCTGGATGCGTTACAACTCGGCGAGTAGGTGAGACTACTCGACGAGTTGAGTTGGATTTTCCCAATACTTCACACAAAACGAATGAACTCGATGAGTCGCATAGATGCACTCGACGAGTTGGGTCAACATGGACTGTTGACTCAAGTGTTGACTTCCGTTGCCTTTTAGGGTTGGTCAAGAAATGAATTATGGAGACCATGGAGGGGTAAAATGGTCTTTCACCCTTTCCAAGAGTTAGAGAAGGGGTTAGCCTAAATTTTTAGGGTTGTGGTTATAAAGTGTTAATTAGAGATGACTACGATATGTAGGCGGAGTCTAGACTGTTCGTGGAGTGGGAGACCTACTTGCTTACTTATGAGGTGAGTCTTCTCACTATACTTACCTGAGTGGTAATATTGTGTGACCAGGGGGTCCTATTTGAGTTATCTACCAGAGGGACTTATGTGCTTATACTTAGTTATGTGATATTATGCATTTTGTCTTTGTGATTTATGCTATATGTTATTCCGTGCCTTACTGAGTTAGGACCGGAGGGTCCAAACCGAGTTTTGAGATTAGAGGGTCTTCGCCGAGATACAATACCGGAGGGTCCAACTCGAGCTATGAGACCAAAGGATCTTCACTGAGACACATGACCGGAGGGTCCATACTGAGCCGTGAGATCGGAGGGTCCATGCCGAGCTATAGCCATGAGAGGCTTATTATTTGTGTTTGTGTTATTTTGGGGAACTCATTAAGCTTTGTG